CCTATTTGCTGTTGATCTCCCCTGATGAGTTTGTAGGCAGCCACCAGGTCTCCCCTCAGCCTCCTCTTGCTGAGGCTGAACAGGTTCAGGTCCCTCAGTCTCTCCTCATAGGGCCTGTCCTGCTGCCCTCTCACCAAGTGGGTGGCCCTCCTCTGAACCCTCTCCAGGCTGGCCACATCCCTTTTAAAGTGCAGCGCCCAGTGCTGGACGCAGTACTCCAATTGCGGCCTGACCAGTGTTGCATAGAGTGTCTCTGGACTGGCTTGAGATGCATCTTTGGATGCATGACAAGGTATGGCTGGCCTTGCTGGCTGCAGTCTGGCTTTCTTTGTCAAACATTAACTCTCACTGAAATAAAAGCAAAAAAGTGTTAAAGATGATGTTTTATGCTGGGAGTATATATGGGAGATTAGAGTCAAAATGAATTTTTATTCATTATTTATGTAACATAGCTGATAGTTACCCTCTAAAGTCACTATGAGTAGTATGTACAATAAAGTTAAACAGTAATTCTACCCAGAGATACTACCCACCTGTTAAGATGCTGCTTAACAGACATAACTGTGTCTGTAAATTATTTTATGCTGCTAAGAATATTTACTTGCTAAGGAAGAAAAGCCATTTCATTCCCAGTAAACTTCTGCCGTCATTCTTACAGTATGGTCTAAGTGATCTAAATTAAACCTATTTTGTCAAAGTTATGTATAATTGTCAGGAAAGATTTTAAGGCATTTAAAATTTTGTCATTCTATAATCATATTTAAAAGTGGATTTTAAGCTTTTCTGCTTTATATGGATCATGAAAAAATATCCAAAATGTCAGTTATTATCAATAATACATTGCATTTTTATAACTTTCATTTGATGTGCCTAAGGCACTTCATAAATGTTATTTGGATTTCTTATGCTAGAAATGACTGCCTATTTGTATAAGGCTACTTAGCGGTTATTTGGAAGCCCCTTTGAAAATCTGACAACTGTATAGGGTTACCTGAAAATAATAATAATAAAAACATACCACATGATATGATGGAACTATCCTTATTTTTCTTTGTAGGGATACCGCCAGAAGGATTATTTTATTGCAACCCAAGGACCACTTCCTCATACAGTGGAAGACTTCTGGAGAATGGTGTGGGAATGGAAATGTCACACGATTGTTATGCTTACAGAAGTTCAAGAAAGGGAGCAAGTATGATTCGCTACTGAAAAGTTTCTACTTTATAAAACAAATTTTTTTCCAGTTAGTATTTGTACAGTTCATTCAGGATTCAATAAGTATACAGCCAATATGGGGAAGTAATGCTGAAAGTGGATATCAATAAGTAGACATCAATATTCAAATTTAAGGCTGGACCCACACCACTGTCAAAACAGCAGCAAATGTTAGTGGAAACCCCTGTAGCAGACATACAGCTACCAGCAGATAGCTGTTCTAGATCAGGTGGAGGGCCAGTCCAGGTTTCCTTGAGCACAAATATAGTCCTATCCTTCCAGCAAATGGCCCCTGTTGGACCCATGTAGTCACTCCTCTTGGAAATGAGAGCCACAGCAGTTTCCCTACCTCTGGTGGGCAAGAGGAGCTGGGGAACTGTGATAGGCTTCCCGCAGCAATCCCCAGTTGGCCCTTTGCACTCTTCTTTTACCAGCAAGTAAAGTAACTCAAGAGATGCTGCAGCGGTGAGAAAAATTCTGGGCTCAAACCCTGGTGGATTGCTTGTTACTACTGCAGATAACATTCGTGGTTATCGTTTAATTTTTTTTTGTAAACCAGGATTCTTCGTTATAAATAAATAAAATAACATTATTAAGGTTTCACCAACTAGTGTTAAAAGTTAGGAAACCCAAGCGTTAAGACAGGCCAGAAAATGTTAATTTGGTCTCCTTGCGTATGTATGTTATAAAACTGCTTTTTATTGTATGACCACACACTATGTATTCAATAGGAGCTCTTCCTTATGTGGGTTGAAATTATTCAGGAAATGAAAAAAGACTGGGTAGTGAATGAGGCTGCTTGTAAACTCCCTGCTTTCGGGCTGGAAAAATTGAAACATCTGTAGAGAATAAAATAGATAGTGTATGAGGAGAAAAGTTGCTCTTGTAGATAAGGCAGGCAAATGCCACAGAGAAGAATTTGATTCTACCTGTGTCTTTGCCATTGTTGTCTTATGTGACAGTATTAATGTTATAGGAATGACGGCCCCAGAAAAGACTGAAGAAATGAATAATTATGTATTCAGTGTAGAGGTGGTCCGGGTGATCCATTGAAAGGTGCAATGCTGAGCTAGTCATTTAAACAGGAATTTTGGCAGTCGGCCACTAATTGTACTTTCTTTACTCTTTGGATGACCAACTGGAGGTACCTGAGACCTAATTTGCAAATGATGAGCACTTGCACTTATGGATGGAGCCACTAAGAAATGTAGATGCTCAGTACCTTTAGCAGTAAAGCCGTGTTGCATGGACAAATAAGCACTCTGTTTCAAACCAGGAAGCACTCCTATATTTTCCACTGATTCATGTTTATAGCCTTTGGCAAGTCTCTCTGTGCATGTCTACATAACACTACTTAAAGCAACTTTGGAATTAGAATTATATTGTACTAGTTCTGGGAGCCAAGAACTATCTCTGCATGGCACAGCACCGTGCTGTGTAGATGTGCCACCTCAGTTGAAGGTACCTCCATATGGTGCTGTAAGGATCTGGATACTCATAGTCTATCTTAGTTTCCCCATCTTCAAACTAGGGTGAATAATACTCAATTATCTGCCAGGGAGATGATCATTAATTGGGGCCTGAGCCAGGAGTAAGGAACACATACATACTATATATTGATGACTCCCCCAGAAAAGACTGAGGAAATTAATTATTAGATATTCAGTGCAGGTTATATCTGGTGATCTACTGAATAACAGGAATAAAAAAGAAATATCAAATAGGTCCCGTATTGCCTGGGTGCTAGCCATTTTGGGCACTGACCAATGCTAGGGTCCTGAGGTAAAAAAAAAAATACTTTGTGAGCATGTAATTAAAGACTGTATCATGCATATACCCTAGGACAGAATTAAGTCTGCATGGACAGCCTTATTACATGTAATGTGTTGCACAATATGAAATCTGACAACTACGCAGCTGTTTTCTGTTCTTTGTCCCAGGTTTGTCTGTTTTCAGGGTTTGTGTTGCTTTTTTAAATCCCTAGTTTTTAATTCTACTAGTGTTGTCATATGTTCTAGTACAGCTAATAGTAGTTTGTGTTTCTCTTCCTTGGTTGTGTTTCTAGTCTCAACCCCAACATATGTTAACACCTACATTCTGTATATTATCTTGTTTTTCAGCAGCCTGAAACATTGAATTAACATAATTCTATTCCCATAAATAGTGTCATTATGAAAAAAGCTGCTGTAAGCTAAAGACTGATTAACAATTTCACTGCAGAACTACTGTGTAACAAGTTTAACATGCTGTGTGTGACCACCTGCGTCACAGCTGCACAACAGCTTAGAAATGAGTGGAAGAGCTTTTCGTAGAACATTTACTATTCTGTTTCAACTCTATAGGAAAAATGTTTTCAGTACTGGCCATCGGAGGGCTCTGTTACTCATGGAGATATAAATATAGAAATAAAAAATGACTGTCTCATAGATGCCATAAGTATAAGGGACTTCATCATCACATACAATCAGGTACCGTTCTCTTTAAATTATGTATTTTTTCTATACTTTTAACCATTTATAAATACAAAGGTTTTATTCATTTGAATTTTTTAGCCCCTATCTAAGGTAAGCCAGTACAATACAGGCATACCTCGGAGATATTGCGGGTTCGGTTCCAGACCACCACAATAAAGCGAGTATCGCAATAAAGCGAGTCACACGAATGTTTTGGTTTCCCAGTGCATATAAAAGTTATGTTTACACTATACTGTAGTCTATTAAGTGTGCAATAGCATTATGTCTAAAAAAACAATGTACATACCTTAATTAAAAAATACTTTATTGCTAAAAAATGCTAACCATCATCTGAGCCTTCAGTGAGTTATAATCTTTTTGCTGGTGGAGGGTCTTGCCTCAATTTGTAAAAAACGCAATATCTGCAAAGCGCAATAAAGCGAAGCGCAATAAAATGAGGTATGCCTGTACTGATATTATTTCTTATAAGCCCTATGATATGTGGTATTTTGGTTATCTGGCCTTTAATTATGAGTTTATATAAACAGTTTATATTTAAGGATTTGAATGACTGGTTAAACGGAAGTTCTGGCCAATCCAGTATTCCCTCCCTCAGTGCAGTAGTTTTATTTTGTGTTAAACCATGTGGTTCTTTTTTGTTGTTCCTTTTTGTATTAAATTGGATTGCATTAAAGTGCTGAGGATTTGTTTATAAAGTCTGGTGGTGGTAAATTAAAAGCAGGAATCGGCATTCTTCACATCTCATGTTTTAGTCCCTTTCCATGCTTTGACTTTTAACTGTGATATTGTAAAAGCACAAGAAACAGTTCAGGTTGTGTGCACACAACAACATTTTTTGCTACCAGAACCAGGCCTGCCATTTGTGCCTACCAGCAGAGGTGAGACTGAGCAGTTCTGAATCCTGGGTGGTGGCTGTAGCTGTAGCCAAGCTGCCAGCAGTGGCTGGGCCAACAGCATGGCAGCTCCTATTTTTGTGACCCACCCAAGTCACTGCCTGGAGCTGGTCCCCTTATCACTTTCCCTCCTAATTGTGCTACTGGATACCAATGATTGCAACACTGTAATCTGAGAACATCATAGCAGCTATTGCATGGTACCTGGGAAGAAAATATGATACCTAAACTACAGATGCGGAGGAGAATCAGCTTTATTTGGGGCAGTATATTCAAGGATTTTCTACTGCACAGATAGGTCAGAGGTATGGAAGAAAAGAGACCAGCCCATTCACAAAAGCATACAAAACAGGAACTATACCAAGTGGCTCTTTCTTAAAACAACCCACATGGGCAAGTTTGAGAAACTGGTGTCAAAAGGAGATAGTATTTTAATGCTTTACTTTGAAGAAGAATTGATGCTGTGGTGATTTAAAAAAAAAAGCTGCTTTCTTAAAGCTGCCACTATTGTTGCCACCAGTAAGAGTAGTAAAGGGAAAGATTAAGAAAAATACCAAAACATTGTCAGACTAAACATTTACACCAGAGTAAAAAAAAAAAAAAAGGCAAGCCCTAGTTCACGTGTTTACCTGATTTCTGACCTCTCTGTTTTTGCTTGTTCTGTTTATCTG